CTATCTATAACAAGAATTAGTATACAATGTAGTACTATCTATAACAAGAATTAGTATACAATATACAATATAGTACATTATCTATAGCAAGAGTATATTACTGCGAGTGACGCACCAGAGAGGTGGAAAACTACTGGAAGCACGGCGTGCTCGTAGCACGTTAGGCGAGTAGTAAGTGTGGCAGTAGGATGCGAGGAACCGTTAGCTCGACTCCGGCTATTTTTATTATTATTATCGTCGCGCTGCACTTCACCACTGGTGCTCGAGAACGAAAGCGGCCGCTGTTCCATCCGCGAGGTCCATACGCGATATCCGTCGAGTGGAGATCGCCTCGATGTTCTGACCTATAAAACCGGCGCCGCGTTCCTCGCGTGGTAAAGCCGATTCCGTTCGTAAGATCCGCCGAACGTTCCCCGTCCCGTCACGCTCGAATAAATTCGTGTCAAGGTGTGCCGCTTCTTTACGCAGCATCGGAATAGATATATTCTCTCTCGCTTCCTCTTCATGGCCTCTCTTCTCTTCTCTGTTTTAATTGAAAGAGGCAACGACAGAGTTTGAAGCAGCAACAGACTGAAATTGGGGCTTTCATATGTTTTATAGAACTCTTCATTTTTTTTTTTTGCTGATTTCGACGTTGAGATATTGTATTGTTTCTTCTTCAATTTGTTGTAGCAATCAAGCTCATAGAAAACTCGTTTCTCATATACATCTTGAGGTTCTTATGTAATCATGGAATCTTATTCATTAAGATGATAGAGTTTTCAATTACTGCGAATCCTCTGGCCTAGGTGAGAAAAATGTTTGCCAATTATTAATATTTTTGGATTAAATAAAGAAGATATAATTAAATTTAAAAAAAGAGGTAAAAGAGGTAAAATACATGAACGTCAAATATCGCAAAGTATGTTGTACCTGTACACAAATTACATATATATTTGCAGAGCCATCGTTGAAGGCGGTAGGTCGATGCCCAGCCTTCGAGGAGCAAAACGTGTGTCCCGCAAGAGCGCCAAACTGCGAGAATGACTTCCAGTGTCAGGCGTCGGGAGAACGTTGCTGCAAGACAGCCTGCGGTACGAAATGCGTCATCGGCCAGTTGACAGGCTGTGAACAGCTGGCGCAGGCAGCCGTGAGAAGATCGCGCGCCCTTGGCCCACGCGGGCCGTCGCAATTTATACCAAAGTGTAACAACGAGACCGGCGAGTTCGAAAGGATACAATGCCATCAACGAGAGAGGAGCTGTTGGTGCGTGGACGAGATCGGTGTCGAGGTACCAGGCACCAGAGGATCCACCAAGCACGTGATCGATTGCGACAATCCCCGTGAGTGTCCCGCGCATAGCTGTCGGATGCTTTGTCCACTGGGCTTTGAGGTAAACTTTCAAACAAATCTTCAAACAGCAACTTAAAGGATTGAATCGCAGCTCTTGATCCTCTTTAGAGAAGCCACGTCACTTTATGTTGTTAACGTGAGTTCTGCAAAACACAGTAGAAATGTAGATAATTAACTACAGTCTATAGAAGATTAGCGTGATTTTATTTGGAAGGATGAACAATGGAAGACCATCATTCTTTTTCCTTAACAAATCTCTCTTTTCTGTTTTCATACAAAGATAAGAAAAAAAAAAAAAAAGCGTAAAAATACTTGAAACAAGCACATTTCATTTCGACTAACAAGGTAGAAGGAAGAGAATAATCCAAAAATAATCCTTTCCACGAGAGCTGAACTCTCGGACCTATCGAACAGCTGCTCTCATTAATCACTGCCGCTCGCAGATCGAGCTGAAAACTGGCTGCCCTAAATGCGAGTGCCGAGATCCTTGCCGCGGCATCGTCTGTCCAGGGACCAGTCAAACGTGCGAGTTGATTGATGCAACGTGCGCCCGTCCACCGTGCCCGCCAATTCCCAGCTGTCGCAAAGCCAAGTCACTGTCGACGATCTGCCCAGCCGGTGAACCGCTGCAAATCACTGACTCGCCGAGGCCATTCCTCTGCGGCGATTCGCCTGGCAAACCGAGCTGCCCGCCGATGTACAGCTGCCTGGTGGAGCCGAAGCAAGAGTACGGAGTCTGTTGCCCGTCTAACATTAATCTAAAACGGCCGGGAACCTGCCCGTTGGAGGAGCCAGCTATCTGTGGCAATTCCTGTCAGCATGATCTAGAGTGTCCAGGCCCGCAGAAATGTTGCACGAGCGAGAAGTGCGGCGGGGGCGTTTGCTCTGTTCCACAGGGGCTCAGCGCTTGCCACAGGGACCGGGTGCTCGCGGAAATGCTCAGCATTTCCGAGAGACAGGGCCGTGGATATGTTCCTCAGTGCACGGAAGGTAAGAAATCTTCTTGATTGGCTTGTTTAGTTATTAAAGATTATTAAGGTCGACTAAACGACGTACCGGCATTTTACCTATCTTAGGTAATAAGGGATCAAATGACCCCTCGCGGTACATAAGGTATGCAAAGAATTTTTC